CCAATGAGTCACCCAAAGCCGAGTGGCCAGGCTGGGATTTGGAAGTGCCCTTTCGATTCTCCAGCTGTGCTGGTTCCTTCTCCTGGAGCCCATTGCATGGCTCTCCTTCCCTCCGTGCCACCTGATGTGGCCACGCTGAGGATGGAGCACTTCTGCATCAGGAGGCAGGCAGGGCGGGAGCTGGATTCATATCAGCCACAGTCTCCAGGCTTCAGGAGCCTGGCAGTGTGGGTGCCTGGGCAGTGCTGGCGGGGGAGGCACAGAACTCCCAGGAGCAGCGCACAGCATGTTTCCAGAGCCCACAAACGCTCATTTCCTGGGACCCATATCTTGAAAGCTGCCCTAACATAGTAATTCTAGATATTAAAACATACACAAAGGTATTGATTTAAGGCCAAAAATCTGAAATTCATCTAAGCAGTAGGGACATAATTAAGCAAACTAAGACACACTCTATTCATTATGATGTGAAAAAAAATGGATGTTTTTATCTTTGACATTTCACCTTTGGTCAGTGGGATGGGATGTTAACTAACTGACCTGCTTATTTTAGTCTGGGTTTTTGTACGCAGCTTTCTTAAACCGGGGACACCATCGCTTTCCTTTTCAAACCACGTGATGCCAGTAGATTAAGGGCCAGAATGTGCCATGAGGAAGCAGCCTTGTGTTGGTGTTTCTGTCCCTGGTGCAGAATGATCTGGCCGAAGGCGTTCAGCACCGTGGACAGCGCTGTCCGTGGCCTGTCCTGGCGGTTCGCCTTCCTTGCCTCAGGCAGGACAACCTGTGCAGCAGTCCGTCCGTCATTTGACTCCTGTGACTTGCAATAGAAACAGCCAAGTTTCTGAAGACTGGACATTTATGTCACCAAAGAGGGATCATACATTTAGTTAACTTCCCTGTGTAGTTGAGTTTTCCTCAAGACATTCTTGGTCTTTCCCCAGCCTCGACGCAAAACAGAATCTTTTTGTCACTTGGCAGCCATGAGCACCAAACCTGAGAAATGGTTTGGCTGATTATGTAAAAAGAGATGAGGCTGGGGAAATAGGAATCTCTTGAAATGATTTAAATTCCACCTAACTGTGCCGCTCAGAGCGCCCTTATGTGTCTCGGAGGAGTACACCAGATGAATTTAAACAGTGTGCAGCTTGCATTCGGCTAGCATTTAACTAGAGAACAGTTTCATTTTTGACCCTTAAGTATAAAATCTCACTTGCATACTCTTACAGGTTTTTTCTTGGCATGTTCCCACCTGGACTTCTTACTACATGTTCTTTCTTTCATCCCTCCCCTAATCAGAGGACTGCATTTGGTGTGAGCTGGCCATCAGGCACGAGGAGGAACTAAAGGGTCTTGAGGACTTCTGTGCAGTGGGGAGAAGGGAGAGAGGAGGAGATGGTGGGTGCAGAGAAAACAGTGGGCACCAAGACGGGGAACGTGGGCCTGTGCTCACTCCCCGGGACAGGGAGGGAGTGGGCAGCTCCCACAGAAGGTCTGCAGCATGGAGCCAGACTTTAGCAGGTGCCCGGTGGCCTGGGCAGTCCCCTCTCAAACTCAGCTTTGGGGCTCAGTCTTGCACGAGGCCTTCAGCTCTCACTTCTGAGTGTCCCCAAGCTCCTCCTCCTGCTCCATCCCCGCATCACACCAGACTGTCCAGGCGACGTACTTTGTCTTCCTTATTGATTGCTTTTCAATGTTGAACGAAATGACCCCTCTCTAGTGTTTTCCTTTAAAAAAAAACACCAAACAAACAACAACAAAAAAACAGCCTCATTGAGGTAAAACTCACATGACATACACTTAGATTATTTCAAGTGTTCAATTCAGCAGTTTTCATATATTCACAGAGACGTGCAGCCCTCACCACACTTTGGTGAGATTTAGAGCATGCTTACCGCCTCAGAAAGAAGCCCTGCACCCTAATGAGCGACGGAATCTGTGCGGTTTCCTTGTAAGGCTTGGTAAACATGGGCCGTGAGTGAGGGCTGCATGTAAATGAAGGTCAGGTTTCCTAAAGTCGGGTCAATGCTGCTCCATTGAGAGACATCCGCTATAATTAGAACGGCCCGCGTAGGCACTGCTTCTCCCCCGATTCTCTCTCCTCCCCCCCTCCCCCATTGTGTCCCTTTCCTCCCCACTTCTGTGACTCCATCTAACCGTGTTGTCTCTTCCTTTCTCACACCTGTCATCTTCCTCGCCCCCCATGGTGTCCCCGCTGCCCCTTCTCCTGACACCATGCACCTCTGTGCGCACCGCGAGTGGCAAAGGGAACCGGACAATGTGCCCGGCTCTGAAACATCTTCAGAGATGGGGATTCAAGTCCGCCTCCTCCTGCTGAAAGCGCCGTCAAAAGGACTGTGAGAAGGGCGAGGTTTTGAACTTCACTTCACACTCACCTTTTAACAGAGGCCGGGATGTTGTGATTTCCCCGATGGCAGAGGTGGCCTGTCCTTTATTTACCAGCCTGCACATCTCTCAGCTTCAGAAGGAACAGAGCCCCCATTCAAGGTCCAAATCAGCTCTGCGCAGTGGGCCTTGTCTCGGAGGATGCGCGCTTTAATTTCCCAGCCTACCGTGGCTTCATCTTGAATTTGTAGAAGGTCTTAGCTCTCAGCGGATCCCCTCCCCCGCCCCAGCCCTGATAAATAGCACTGAGTTTGATCATTTTGAATTCTTTTAATACCCACCCCCCAAAAAAGATTTTTGCTATTATTTCTGAAACCACCAAATGAGTGAGGGTATACGTGAAAGGGAGAAAGCGAATGCACACACCTGTCTTTCCCCCTTTTCTTTTTCGTAAAGATGCCTGCTTCTTGGGACCCTACGTTGAAAGCATCTCGTATTTTTAATCAGCACGTAGGAAATCCACAGCCGGCCAGCACTCCGGCCCCCAGCAGCTCCTCCAGACAGTGTGGGTGGCTCCCTGGCGCAGATTCTCAGCACCCCCTCCAGCCAAGCCCACAGGGAAGAGGGGTGGCAGGCGTCCCTCCAGAGGGCCCAGGGCTCCCTGAAATACAGACTCCAAGTCTGGGGAGTGGCCACCTTCGACCTGGGTGGGCCTGGGGACGGCTCGGGAGGGGCAGTGGCAGTGGTCACAGCACTCGCTGCGGCCATCACGGTGGTGGGGACAGTGCAGAAGGATGCCTCCCCGCAGATGCCTTTTCAGACCCAGAGCAGCCGGCCGCAGGCCCACACCGCAGAGCCGGTCTGTTGGAGCATCAGCCGGGACATCAAAAACCAATTCACTACACCTGGCGGTGCCGGCGATCGCCGAGGCGAGCTCCCCACAACAGTTCATCAAAACGGGCCAGCTAATGATCGGCTGGGCAGATAATCAGAGGAGAGTTAATTGTAAGGTTCGACATGGCATCTTGTCAGCAGAGATAAGTTGTCACGTTTTCCACTTGAGCTGAAACTAAATGATTGTAAAATAAGTTATGAGTGTCCTTGGGCCTGTCTGCCGGAATGATAGCTAAGAATCCATTCCTGGCCCATCAGTCTCGGGCAGGCTGCTTGATATTTATGCGAACGGAGTGTTATTTTATCCCTGCAGTCATGCTTGTCAGCCTCCCGAGTGAGGAGTGGGCTGCCTCCCGGACTCATACTTCACGTGCTGCAGCTCGGAGAGGCTGCAGACTGCTGTCGTTACTGCTTGGATTATATATATTTTGGGGTGTGCGTTGAACATTGATGCCCGATTGGGAAGAACTAATGGCTGACGCCCATCGCGCGGGCTGGCAGTGGACGGCCTATCCAGCTCGGGTCTCCGTGGCCCTGTCAAAGCCGAGATAGGTGTGGAGTAACGAGGTGCTTGCTTTTTTAATTTGGCGTGCCCTCTTTCTCTTCACCTCTCCCCTCCCACAGTCCACGAACCACCATGGTCACCTGTCCCGGTGCCCAGTCATTGATACAAAATGAAACATTATTTGCAGGCCGTCAGGGGGCGTGGATGGCGTCGTTGCCGGGGCTGCGGCTAGAGCTCATTTCCGGCATCTGAGGCTGGGCTTTCAGCCTCTTCCCTTTGAGGGATCTCTTGTCAGGCAGGGGGTCGTCGGGAAGGGGGAAGCACAGTGTGGAAGCCTCGTGCGTTTGGGTCGCTCCTATTTTAAAATGAGGAATGTTAGCTGCTCCTGGGAGCCAGGGGCATTAATATCCCAGCGCCAGCTCAGGCCCCGGTTAACTAGCAACAGTGGCCGTCTCCGCGTGAGCCCCAGGCCACAGTCCCTGCCGGCCTCCTGCCTCGGCCTCCCTGGCCCAGGACCATATTCCTCCCTGACCTCTGCCGTAATTTGCTTCCGCGATCGCCTTCTCTGGGTCACGGTTGTAGTTGTATCCTGGCCACAGCCAGCCCGCCCGGACCCGGCACGCTGAGCGTCCTCTAGGTGGACAAGTGGTTTGGTGGCAGCTGCCTCTCCTCACTCAACCACCCACTCCTGCATTGTGCCTGCTCCCCGTGACCCGCCCACCATGGCCACCCAATTCAGAGTGGCCCCCTGCTGTTTGCTGTTCTTCCTCCAGCAGCAAACTGAGAATCCCATTTCCAGGGCCCCGGCCACAGTGCGTAGTTCCAGGTGTATAGCAATGATTTGATGTATATAGGGAAGTGCTCCCAGAGTAAGTCTAGTTAATACCCATCACCACTATTATAGTGTTTTTTCTTGTGATGAGAAATTTTAACATCTATTCTCTTAGCAACTTTCAAATCTCCATTACAGTATTGCTAACTACATATTGCATCACATACAGAATTGTGTAGACTGTGATTACATGAACTGCACCGTAGTGGTTTTATACCTGGAAGTTTGTACCTGTTGACCACCTTCAGGATCCTTCAGTGCTGAGTGCTCTGGGCCTCCATCCTGCAGTCTCATATGTATTGTGTAATGTGCTTTATATTCCAATAGTAAATGACTTGTGGGGCTTGATATGCTCTTGGAGGAACGTGGTTTTCGTGGTTTGACGTGCTGACGCTTGCTCTGTTTTGCCTTTCCGGTCCGACGCAGACACGGGGCTGGGCGACTCCGTGTGCTCCAGCCCAAGCATGTCCAGCACCACCAGCCCCAAGCTCGACCCGCCCCCCTCCCCCCACGCCAACAGAAAGAAGCACCGAAGGAAGAAAAGCACCAGCAACTTCAAAGCCGACGGCCTGTCAGGCACTGCTGAAGGTAAGGCCTCCCGGGACGTCAGAGTGGGTTTGCGACTCGGAAAATCAACCTGTGCAGTCACCTGCCCCGAGAAACACGTGTGCAATAATGAGGTCCCTGCAGGTGCTTCCTGTTTACAAGGTGGCGCCAGAGGGCCCTCAGGACTCCTCATCCCTGGCTGATGTGCAGGCGTATCCACCAAACAGTTGTCTTCCTCCTGGCAGCTGTCGCCTGGTAGGTGGTAATGCTGGGGTCCCCGTCGTGTGCCGGTCAGTTCTCTGGTCTTTGGGCCACCTGGGCTGAGTGTCCACTCCCACTGAGGGAGACGCACCTCTCCTGATCAGGAATCTTCTCTCCTATTGGTCGGCTCTGTTCTGCCACTACCCCTCCCACCAGAGCCGTCCACACTGACGTGGCTCCTGTAAGGCCCAGGGGTCACAGCTCCTGTGGCAGCTCCTCTGATGTGTCAAGTCCTCAGTTTTCATCTGTGACGCCAGGTGTGATCTTCCTGCAGCGGCTCCTTCTGCTGGGTTTACAGGGTTCTTCCCACAGATACAAGTGGGGATACACACACACACACACACACACACACCCGCGCACGCGCGTACACGCATGCACTAACAGACCACATTAGAAGAGGTGGAATTAATGCAGTTTTCATAAGCAAGTTAAAGACATACCTCAAAGGAAAAATAAACTTCAAGCATTGTTGGGTAACGTGACTTACTACTTGCGAGGCCAACCAGGGTTAACGGGTCTGTTTGCAACAGGGTTCCACCTGCCCAGGACTCCCGCTAGAACATAGTGCTTTTACCTTCTCTGCTCCTCCCTCCCTTTTTCTACCTGGTTGGCTGTTCACCATGAGATGTGGCAGGAATTGGCCCATTCCCTCCTAATATCCAGAAATGAGCCTGGAAACTCGCAGTGCACAGGTGAGCAGGGGGAGAACAGAGTTCCTGTGTGTGCGCCGAACGTGATGTCTACCACAGTTCTGCGAGCTGGGCCGTGGCATCGTTCCACGTATGAAGAGGAGACTGAGGTTCAGAGTGTCGAACAGCCTGCGGGGCTCTCACGGTGGCCCAGCAGGGGCGCATCTGAAAGCTCTACTTCCTCCCCAGGTTTCTTACCAGTTTGCCTCCCATAGGCTTCCTGCTGACAAGTTTAGCCAATAAAATCTACTTTTCTCCTGGGATAATCAGTGAGGAGATTCTGTTAGGTCAGCACTGGTGAGAAGTAACGATTACAGATGAAAGTGCCCCCAGATGCCACTGTGCTTCCCTTTGGAAACAGATTTGGCCACAGATGCTGAGAGGTGACAAGACGCCTGTAAATGACCGTCGGGCAGGAGCACCTGCAGAGCACACGGCCACACCCACGCTGACAGGTTGCGGGGGTGGGGGGGGGTCCGAAAGAAGCATGGCCTTTCACCTGAGGGGTGGCATGGGCCGCATACACTTGCGGAGAGAGGGAGATGGCTTCAGGGAAAGGCCTGGTCCCATTTCTCAGGTAAACTTCTTATTGTGTTTGTGGTGTGTTTCCAACCAGTGAGGTTGCTCAGAAGCACCACCTGGAAGATTCTGTCCGTCCACCTGTAACTACATCCCACACACTGACACTAATTATCCCACCCACCGCCGACAAGGTGAGAACACGGAATGAGATGCAGCCTTAACGTGAATTAGTAGCAGCTGCACAGTCAGCCATTGGTGACTGAGGGAGTTGGAGAAGGGACCGTTGGATGCCCATATTTCCAGCCCACTTTCGAGTTACTGGGACTGCTCTGTGTGTTTCGAACAGTAACCTCTGACACGGCTGAGATGGATCATCCACCCGAAAACAACTGTGACATAAATAGAAAGGCTCCCGGCGCCACAGAAATACCCAAATTAAAAATCCCAGCAGTGCCTCAGGCCTGCGATGAGGAATGGTCACACGTGTCCCGAAGTTCATCCCGTGATCCTAGGGGAAGCCGACCCCCTCTTTCTAGTTGAGATAGTGTTGTCTCAGTCACACCAGGGCCCTAACATCCTTCCCATAGGAAATACAACAGTAAGTTCTCTGTAAAAAGAAAATGTGTATTTCTCCCCCAGGAAGAGCTACCTACCAAACCATAAAAGAGTCGTTTTTCTGAGACAAGCCTTGTTTCTAAGACATATCTATACGTCTCTGAAGTCGTAATGCACACTACAGTTCAGGCCATTTTTGACTCAATGATATTAAGTCTCAATAACGCTTAACTTCTTCAAGTGCATTGCATAGCCACGTACATGTCAGCATTGTGTTCTTGAAATTAAAGCCAGTTGTATGTGTTTTATTGTTAGAGGATACCGTTTGATTTTAAGGAAATATTTCTGTTTCTCTCTTCTGCGGGCACTGTTACCACCTGTATTGTCTGTTGCCCATGGTTGTGCTGGAAACTCAATTGCAGATATAAAATGTTTTATAGAAGATGTCATTAAGTGGTTGAATTTTATGGGTTTTGACATACCCCTTTGGAACAAATGACTGCATTTAATTATCTTTAGAGTATAAGAAAAATAAGGTTCCACTGACAGTCAACTGGCCCAGTCAGAGCTCCAGGGAACATGTGGCATCATTGAGGGGAGTGAACCACACGCATGTCCACAGAGCCATGGGCATGCCACAGGGGTGGTTATAACCCCAGGGATGTAACAGGGAAAGGAGGGGGCAGAAACCGTGAAGACCTGTGGCCTTCAACCAGGGATATGTCCAACTCGTGATGGCCCAGAGGGAGAGGGGGCCCAGGGGAGGCACCCTGACCTCACTCCGCCTGCCTCGAGTCTCCTCCCTGTCCTGCTCCTTGACCAAACTCAACTAGGAGCCAAAGGGCACGAGAATCCCTGGTGCAGGCCACGCACGTCTCTCTCCAGGGCAGAGAAGGAGGGAAGGGGGACCAACCACCAGCATCTGGGGAGGGCCCGGGTCCCCCCTCTTGCCTTGTGCAAATCCCTGGGGAAGCTGTGCTGCTGACCCTGCTGCTCATTGTCCATTCACAGCAGACCAGGTGCCGCATTCGGGCCACTGCCCCCGAGGGTGTGGCGGAGCTGGGTGCCCTTCCCCAGCTGAGTGCAGAGGGTCCAGCACTAAGTGTGTCTCACTGTGGGGCGTGCACAGTCAGAGAGCCAGAGGATGACCACTTTCTTCTACTTACAATTTTAAATGAATGGAATAAATCTGGTCAATTACAGGAGCAGAAACTACGACTGAAGAATTCCTTTATAAATAACTGAGTCCATCGTGGCGACTCGACAGGCTCATGCATATGATGAGTCATAGAGAAGACATTTGCATGATCAAGCCCTTCCCTGGGCTCATATGTAACTGTTGGTGTCATTTCCGGAGTCAAGATGTAAAAGTAATTCAGCCCCCTCCGTGAGGAAGTATGGGTGCAAGCGAGGGCCATGGATTCTGCTTTCTGTTGGTGACATGCGTCATTTAAACAGAAGTGACTCGAAAAGGTGGCTGGATGCCGGCTCTTCCAAGACAGACCTGAAGCTGTTCCCTTTGGGCGGGTGAGGGGTGCTGGCCGTGAAAGGCCCCCACGTGTCCCTCACTGGGCATTTGCACCCCCCCTTCTGCCTGCTGGGAGCCTCCTCAACATTTAGATCTGTTCTTAGTCTCTGAAAGTATGAGTTTTTCAAAGACTGTGGCCCTTTTTGTATTATTATGCAACTTGGTGATGTTTTTATGCAGGAGAATTAGACTGGCCAGAATGTGGGACAAGGCATGAAAAATGGTGAGGGTGGTATTAGCTTAAAAAAACAACCACCTCCTCACATATCACCTGTTCCTACATTATCCCTATTTAAGAGACCATTGGCAATATTGACTATTAAAACACCAGTGCTATTCTTGATTTTAAGTTGGATTTGATTTGCTCAGAGTTACTCAATATATTTAAGAAAATGTACGTTCAGATCTGGACACAGTCTCCATGGTGATGGCAGAGCATCAAAGCAAATGCAGGCATTGGTGAGAAGGGTGCTGATGGGTCTGGACTGGGGTCATGGAGGGCATCCTTGAAGGGAGTTGACGAAGGACGGGGGCATAGAGGCGGCTGGCTGGGTTCAAAGGATGGAAGGACAGTCCTGACTGTCCCGGATGGTCCCCATGGGCCTTTTTGGGATCGATGGGGGGGAGCCTCAAGGAGATGGACGTTGGCTCAGGTATTGAAAGGAAAGCTTTGTTAGAGCCAAGACTGCCCTGAGAGGCAGGGGGCCTTTTCCCTGCAGCAGGTGCAGCCCTGGCCAGGCCACCGCCATGGAATTCGGGTTCTGGGAGGATGATCGCACCAGGGCCCCTGTTTGTGGCCAGAACCGGGTTGAAGGTGTGTGCCGGCAGAGCTCTTGGCAGTGGGGTCCTGCGGACGTTTAGTGACAGGCATCTTAGGACATCCTCTTTGAATCGTGAGGCGTTCTGGCACCTTCTTATCCAGAGTCCAGTGGCGAGGTTATCGAAGCCAAGACAGAACGGCGGTCTCCACAGCCGCATTCTGTGGTCCCGAAGCTGGTGGCTCCTGTTCATCTTACGACATTCATGCAAGTTTGCATCGAGCGTTAATTCCCCTGCTTTCCCGTGAAGCGGCGGAAGTGGGGAGAGGTTAAGTGGCGTTCTTGTCCAGGGTCAGGTTGCTGGTAGGCGACCGAGCCGGCGCTGCATTCTCTGCCTCCATCTCTCTCCACCAGGCAGGAAGCGCGTCTTTGAGGTGTGCGGAGCGGCTTTTGAATCTAGGAGTGGGGCCAACGGCGTGGCTTTCTTCATATTTCTCAGATTCCATGTAAAGACGCTGGCTTTTATATGGCTCCTCACACCTAGAAGTTGTGTGGCACAGATCTTTCTGTTCAAACACAGGCCAGTCCGGGCTGACGCAGGCTGATTATACACAAGCGTATGCAGAAGTCCTGTTGGGGGTTTTTTCCTCTTGGATTCCCAGTGTTTGCTCTAAAGGCCTCAGGGGAACCTGATTTATCTTTCCCATCACCAGCCATCCCAGGCTTGTT